GGTAATCCAATCTCCAATGTTCAAAACTCTGCTCTTAAATTTCTAACTATGTGACCTTGGGCAAATTAACCTCTATAGGCCCCAGTTTCCTCATTTATCCAATGAGGATAATAATACCAACTTTTACATAGATATATTATGAGGATTAAATTAGTTAATTCATAAAAAGCATTTAGAAGAGGATCTGGCACATAGCACTCCATAAATGTGAATTCCCACCTGCTGGGGCACTAACTTTTCTTGTTTTTCTTTCTCTCTCTCTCTCTCTCTCTCTCTCTCTCTCTCTCTCTCTCTCCAGATTTCAGGCTCAACAGTTTTGGCCTATGATTAAAACTGTCCTCTTACTCATTAGATTAATCAACTGCATTGCTTTGAAAACCTCTAAGTATTCTTTTCTTTTCTCATTGTTGGACCATTTTACTCTTTCTGTGTCTGAACGCCTTTTTTATTGGTTCTGTATAGTAAGTTTTCCATTTACACATTGAAAGCTTTTTTTGTATGATTACTAGGGTATGAGTTCCTTGAGGACAGGGACTGTCTCAATTTTCTCTATTACTCCAGTCCCTTTCTTCCTCCCTACTGCAAATCTATGCTAAAGAAAGGGTTTTGTGGTTTTTTTTGCTGGGGCTCTCTCTTTTTTTTTTTTTTTTTCTCTCTCTCTCTCTCTCTCTCTCTCTCTCTCTCTCTCTCTCTCTCCAGATTTCAGGCTCAACAGTTTTGGCCTATGATTAAAACTGTCCTCTTACTCATTAGATTAATCAACTGCATTGCTTTGAAAACCTCTAAGTATTCTTTTCTTTTCTCATTGTTGGACCATTTTACTCTTTCTGTGTCTGAATGCCTTTTTTATTGGTTCTGTATAGTAAGTTTTCCATTTACACATTGAAAGCTTTTTTTGTGTGATTACTAGGGTATGAGTTCCTTGAGGACAGGGACTGTCTCAATTTTCTCTATTACTCCAGTCCCTTTCTTCCTCCCTACTGCAAATCTATGCTAAAGAAAGGGTTTTGTGGTTTTTTTTTAAACAAATGAATTCATTTATTTAGTTTTTGTATTTTTTGCTCATTTTATGCTGGGTATTCTAATCTGAGCTTCCAGTTTTCCTGAAAATTCTCTTTCCCCAATTATCTCTGGACATTTTAACTTCATCTGGTGATGCTGAGATCCCATCCTGGATCATCATACTTTTTTGGCAGGTAGGAAGTTCAGTTTACCACATACTCCGTTCATATGTTAGAAAAAAAATCCCATTTAATTCACCTGAATTTAATTTTGCTTATATTCTCTTGATTTCAGATAAACTGATTATTCTCTTTAAAATCTATCAGCTTTGAGAGGGGTTCTATCTTGAAGAACTGTTTCATTCTTTATTTGGAGATAGAGCCATACTACCCTCAGTTTCTTTACATGCAGAATAAAAATCAGCTCTTCTCACTTGGAAGAAAGGAGAATGAATTATGCCAATATTTCTAAATTTTATTTTTAATATATATAAAAGATATATGTAACACATAAGATTAATAATATAATGAAATACCCAACTTGAGTGCTAGAACATTTCTCAGTAACTTGTATCTACTTTTGTGTTCCTCCTCTATCTCTTTCCCTGCCCTCAGAGGTTACCAATATTCTATATTTTGTCCTTCTCATTCCATTGATGTTTTCTTTTTTAAAGTTTAGGTTTATGACAAATGTATATATGCTAATATGTTGTTTAATTTGTGTATTTTTGAGCTTTATAAAAATGCTATCATCCAATATATAGTTTTTTGGGATTTACCCCATTAGCACTATGTTTCTAAATTCATTCATGTTGTTGTACAGAATGGTTGTCCATATTGGTTTTTTTTAAAAATATATTTTTATCAATTTCAGAGAAGAAGGGAAAGGGAGAGAGAGATAGAAACATCAATAATGAGAGAGAATCATTGATCAGCTGCCTCCTGCCTCCCCTGGGAGTGGCTCCTGCAACCCAGGCATGTGCCCTGACCTGGAATCATAGGTTGATGCAAAACCACTGAGCAACACCAGCCAGGCTGATTGTTCATTTTTAATACTATAACATTCCATTGTGTGAAGATACTACAATTTATTCTCTTGCTGGTACAAGTTGGGTTGTTTCTAGCCTTACAAAAATTTATAAACATTGATGCATTAAAAATTCTTATGTATGCCTCCTGGTCACATATGCAAGTGTTTCTTTTGGTTATATACCTAGAAGTAGGGGTGCTGGTTTATGGAGTTTGTAAATATTTAACTGTGAGATAACGAATGCGAAATTGATTCTCACTCTCCCACAGTTTATAAGAATTCTACTTATTCCTCAGTATTTGGTATTTTTACACTTAATTTTTGCTAGTTTACTGGGGGTAAAATGGTATATACTTATTTCTTTTTTATAGAATGAAAATCATTCTTACCTAAAGCTTTTTAAAACTTCCTCTTCCTTTTGATATTAAGAGTTTTCAGCCTGCCCTGGCCAGTTTTCTCAGTGGTTAGAATGTTGGCCTGCAGACCAAAGGGTCTTGAGTTGGATTCTTGGTCAAGGGCACAAACCTGGGTTGCAGGTTTCTCAGTCTGGTCGGGCGCACACAGGAGGCAACCAATCGCTGAGTTTCTCTCTTTCTGTCTCTCTGTGTCCCCCCACCTCCACCCCTCCCCCTTCCCTCCTACTCTCTCTAAAAGTCAATGGAAAAATATCTTCAAGTGAGGATAAAAAATAAGCCCTGGCCAGTTTGGCTCAGTGGATAGAGCAGTGATGGCGAACCTTTTGAGCTCGGCATGTCAGCATTTTGAAAAACCCTAACTTAACTCTGGTGCCGTGTCACATATAGAAATTTTTTGATATTTGCAACCATAGTAAAACAAAGATTTATATTTTTGATATTTATTTTATATATTTAAATGCCATTTAACAAAGAAAAATCAACCAAAAAAATGAGTTCGCGTGTCACCTCCGACACGCATGTCATAGGTTCGCCATCACTGGGATAGAGTGTTGGCCCATAGACTGAAGGATCATAGATTTGATTCCAGTCAAGGGCATGTACCTCAGTTGCAGACTCAATCCCTGGGCCTGGTCGGGGCATGTGCGGAAGGCAATCAGTTGATATGTCTCTCTCACATTGATGTTTCTCTCTCTCCCACTCCCTTCCATGCTCTCTCTAAAAATCAATGGGGAAAAATAACCTCAACTGAGGATTAACAAAAAATAAAAACTAAATAAATATGCCCAATCTTAAAAAAAAAAAAAAAAGGAGTTTGCAGCCTGATCTGACATTACTATGCTTGGGATTCGGTTGAGAGAAAGCCATTTATTTGTGTAATAGTTTCTGCTAAAGGTATAAAAGCTGAGATAGGGTGGAGGCTGCTAACTAGGTTGTTTGAATGTTGCTTTTAAGTTGATCTTACATAAATACCAAATTATACACAGTCTAAAACTTCTTGTTACAACTTTACAGAAATGGAAATGTGTTAAATTATATTCTTTGTTATTGACCCATCACAAATTAATCTGTCTTGAGTTTATACCTATCTGTAAAACTATCTATAATAATAAAAGCATAATATGCTAATTAAACTGGATGTCCTTCTGGATATCCTTCTGGACAACCTTTCGTATGAAGCCAGGGCTGCGAGGGAGGCCTGGGTCCTGGGTGCCTGCTGGCAGCCGGAGGGAAGCCCAGGTCCCGGGTGCCAGAAGAAAGCTGGTACTGGCAGCCGGGAGAAGGAAGGCTTATTCTTGCATGAATTTCATGCCTCTAGTCTATATATAAAAGCCTAAGCGACCATCTGACCATTCAACAGGTAGCTATGATGCGCAATGACCACCAGAGGGCAGACGCTCAATGCACAGGCATGGAAACATGAAACAGACTGATGAATCTCAGAGGGAAGGGGGAGGGGGGAGGGCGGGAAGAGATTAACCAAATATTTTATATGCATACTAGGGGCCTGGTGTATGGATTTGTGCACTGGTGGGGTCCCTTGGCCTGGCCTGCAGGGATCAGGCCAAAACCATCTCGGTGCACTCATTTGTGCACCCATGGGGTCCCTCAGCCTGGCCTGTGGGGATCGGGCTGAAACCGGCAGGCCAAGGGACCCCACCAGTGCATGAATCGGTGCACCGGTCCTCTAGTTTTAAATAAAAAGCTCCTTCAATCTGTTGATCTGGAATATTTCTGTTGAACCAAGCTTAGTAAAAGCTATCTTTATATAATTCCTTGTATTTTAATTGTACCAAAGAGATTCAACTTACCGTCTTTTAACATGGTTATACCATCTAACACAAATTAGTCTCTCAAAGAAATTTCAGAACTCCAAATGTTAATCTTACTAGTTATCCACTGAATTGACACACACATTAACCAGGAAAATAAGCCCAAACAGATGGTATAGCTACATTGTGCCCTAAAACATGTGGGGTTTTTTTTAAATTGAAAAAGCCATCTTGTATATAACAGTTTTCATCAATAACTAAAAACACATGGAGATGGAAAAAGAGAATCCAAGATAAATGGCAATATATGTATATTTTGAAGAAAAACTTTTAAGCACCTTGTGTTTATTGTCTTTAAAAACAAATATGTGTGTCATTTATCTAGTTTTTCTTGATTTTGAATGAAAGGTTTTTGAAGGAAGGGGCTGTGTGTTTGCTTTACGTTTCCTTATTATATTGTTAAGTATAGTGTCATATCCCAAAGGGGAACTCAGAAAATATGAATTGAGTGTAAAAGTTCCTTATTTATCATCAACATATGTTGACTGATAAATGATTGAGTGGATATTTATGACCAAACCATAAAAAGCTGCAGTTTGCTTGCTTCTCTATGGTCTATAGCTATTGTTGGAATTCAGGGTGAATACATTTATTCCAGGTAAGTGTTTTTCAACTTTACTTATATAGCTAAAACTGTGTTTAGTAAAGTTGCTATCAGTGTTTGGTTTCTTTCTCTGTTCTCTTTTCAAGCCAGGTGTTAATCCTCATTTCCTCATTCCAGATATTCACCACTATATTGATCAAGTTGCTGCTGAAGGAACACTGACTCCTGGATAGCTTCCTCCAAGTGGGGGCTTTTTCTTTCTATCATGCAGAGTAAGTGAGCTTTTTTGTTGTTTGTAAGTGGTAATCTATAAAATGGGGCAAACTTAGAGGTTAAGCCTTTACTTCTCACATGGATTGCAACATGACAACATTCTCACTATAGTAGGCAGCCACCATGAAGGCCCTCAGTGATTCCTGACTTCTGGTATTTACACACTATTATAGTCCTCTTCCACACTGTATGAGGATTGGTCTGTTTGACCAATAGAATATGGCAGATGTAGTGGTATGTCACTTGCAAGATTAGATTATGAAAGACTACAAGGACACAGGGACCACAGGCAAAATTGGAACCTCAACTAGTTCTAAAGGGAATTGTTTCTGAGGTTGGAAAGTGCTAACCCAAATTCCATGCCAAGAAGATCCAGGTCTTTCTTGGATCTAGAAACAGTGAGAGAAAAACCTAGAAATATAAATAGAAATAAATGGGAATTTCACTAAAAGCTATTGGACAAAAAGAGACCACCTAATGAAAAGAAATGAAATACTGATACATGCTCTAACATGGTTGAATCATAAAAACATGCTAAGTGAAAGAGGCCAGTCATAAAGACCAGATATTATATAATTTTATATGTAATGAAGGGGTGGTGGTGAGGTGGGGGTTTGGGATGTCATGGCTTAGTTCAGGATTACTTTGGAAATAATAAAAATGTTCTAAGACTGATTGTGGTGATGGTTGCAAAACTTTGTAAATAAAGCCATTGAATTGTATACTTTGAATGAGGAAACTGTATAGTTTATAAATTATATATCAATACGGCTGTTTAAAAAAAGACTGTAGCTTCCTTCTTGGACTTTCTCTTTCTTCTATCACTTGTTCTGAAGGAAGTCAGCTGCCATGTCTTGAGGACACTCAGACAACCTAACTATGGAAAGACTTATGTTGTGAGGAACTGAGGTTTCCAGCTAACAGTCAAAGAAGAACTGAAGCCTGCCAAATAACCTTTTCAGTGATCTTTGCTAATCCTATAGGTGGAAAATTGTGTCTTATTGAAGGTTTAATTTGCACTTTCCTATTATTAGTCATATTAGGCATAATTAATATGTTTAAAGGCATTTGTAAGAGAACAAGAAATAAAAACACGAACACCATATTCAATGGTGTGAGGAAACATCTTTAATCCCAAGGCATCAAATATGAAAGTTAAAAGTGGATGGAGATGCCCTAGCTGGTTTGGCTCAGTGGATAGATCGTCGGCCTGCGGGTCGAAGGGTCCTGGGTTAGATTCTGGTCAAGGGCATTTACCTCGGTTGCAGGCTCCTCCCTGGCCTGGGCCCCAGTCAGGGTGCATGTGAGAGAAATCACTGTGTTTCTCTCACATCAATATTTCTCTCTGTCTTTTCCTCTTTCTCCCACTCTCTCTAAAAATCAATGGAAAAATAGCCTCAGGTGAGAGGCTAAAAAAAAGTGATGGAGAAATGACAAATGACTTAGGTTAGAGAAAGGCAAAACCTAGATACTGCAGCAATGGAACCTCAGAGAGCCAGGGAATTGGAGGGGTAAAGAATATATGAAGGGAAGGAATGGGCTGAAGGGTGTAGATTATTTAAAAGTTCTTACAAGTATCATGTAGAACCCAGATGCTCACCCTCTACAGCCACCATAAGTAGTCAGATGCTTTCTTCTACTTCAACATACAGGAGATGGAAGGTATCTTCTTTGGAGAAATTGAACTAGAGAACCTCTGGACTTGGTTACATCAAGCTCTGGGGAATGAGTATGAAAACAAATGTATGGGCCCTGGCCAGTGTGGCTCACTTGGTTGGAGCATCCTCCAATACACCAAAAGGTCACAGGTTCAATTCCCAGTCAGGGCACATACCCAGGTTGCAGGTTTGATCTGCATTTGGGGTGCATGTAGGAGACAACTGATTGATGTTTCACTTTCACGTCGATGTTTCTCTCTCTATCCTTCTCCTTCCTTTCTCTGTCACTCTCAAATCAATAAGAGTATGTCCTTGGGTGAGGATTAAAAAAATAAATAAATAAAAAATAAAAATCCCTGTATAACTTAAAAAAAAAAAAGAAAACAAATGCATGGGATGAAAACATGAAAGTCTATATTCTAAACAGGACATTCTACTCTTTTCCCTACCCAGCTTTAGAAAGCTAGCAACCAGGTTGTTTTATCTCCAGGCAAGAAATAAGAGGATCTTTCTTTGAAAACCTGAACTAATACAGAGGAAATATAATTTTCTCTACTTTAATTTTTAAAAAAGTCATGATATAATAGATTCATAACACATCCAGAATATAACCACCTCTCCCCACCTTCACTTACTACCATTCTGGTGCTAGCTACCATCTTTCTGTACTTAAACTATTATAGCATTTTCCTGTCTCTAGAGCTAACTGTCAACTTAGCAGTCAGAAGAATCCTATCTAATAAAGAGGGAATATGCTAATTGACCCTCATGCCATTGCAAAGATGGTGGTGCCCACAGCCAATAAGGAGGGAATATGCTAATTGACTGCCACACCCTCAAAGATGGCGGTGCCCACAGCCACAATATGGCAGTGCCCAGTCCCCTCAGCCCCGCCGGGGCGGCAGGTGTGCGGCAAGGCCCGGCCCATGCCTGCCTGCCTCCAGAGACCCTCAGTCCCCTCAGTCCCCCAGCTGCCCAGGGCCGGCCGAGGCACAGGTAACCAGGGCCAGCCGAGGCTTGCACTGCCAGCAGTGGCAGCAGCAGAGGTGTGATGGGGCGTCGCCTTCCCCTGATTGCCGGGCCGCCTCCCACCCCTGAGAGCTCCCAGACTGTGAGAGGGGGCAGGCCAGGCTGAGGGACCCCTCCTCCAGTGCATGAATTTTCATGCACCGGGCCTCTAGTCTTTTTATAATAGAGGTTAAATTATATTACTTTTCTATCCTTATAATTTTTATCTCCCTTTATTTTTTCACAGCATATTATATTTTTTCAGATATTATATATTTATTTGCTTAATTATTTATTACATATCAACCTTGACTAAAATGTAAGCTCTCTAGGGGAGAGATTTTTTCAATTTTTGTTGCCTGCCATATCCCCAGAATCTAGCATAGCATACATTTGTTGGCTGAAGGAGTCTATCAATAAAGGGGTGATCATATATACTTTTCTCTTTTGAATTTTTAAATGGTTAGTTATTGCGATAAATTTTCTGATGTTGAACTATCCTTGCATTCCTAATGTGATTCCACTTAGTCTGGTGTTTAATTCTTTTAAGATGCTGCTGAATTTTATTTGCTAGTATTTTAGTTACTATTTCCTCAGTAGATTTTCTTTAATTGTGGTACCTTTACTGGATTTTGTTCTTTTATCTGCTTTGGATTGAAACAAAGGAGCATTTTTTCCCCCCTCAAGGCAACCTAAATTTATCTTGCTTAGCAGAAGAGAGATGAATTTGCTCTAATTTAAAGAACCAGGATTATTTCAGTTCATATTTTTCTCCAATATCTGAGGCTGAGGTTCCTCTCAAGTCAAGATCCACTTACTGATCATGTCCATTAAAGTGTTGGAGAGGATGTGGAGATATTGGAACTTTCATATATTACTGATAGGAATGTAACTGGGTGAGCCCCTTGTGGAAAACTGTTTGGCAGTTCCTCAAGAAGTTAAATCTAGCCCTTGCAATTTTTTTCAGTGGTTAGAGCATCAGGCCTCAGATCAAAGGGTCTCAGGTTCAATTCCCCATCAAGGGCACATACCTGGGTTGCAGGTTTTGATCCATGTCCCTGGTTGGGGCGTGTGCGGGAGGCAACCAATTCATGTGTTGCTCTCACATCGATGTCTCTCTCTCTCTTTCTCTTTCCCCTCCCTCCCTCCCTTCCACTCTCTCTAAAACCAGCGAAAAAAATATCCACAGGTGAGGGTTAAAAAAAAAAGAAGTTAAATATAGAATTACATATGATCTAGTAATTCTACTTCTGGATATAGTTCCAAAATAATTGAAAACAGATGTTTAAACAACAACTTGTACACAAATGTAAATAGCATACAACTCAAATATCCACCAAAAGATGAATGGATAAACAAAATGTGATACATCCATATGATGAATATTATTCAGTCATGAAATGAAGTCCTAGTACATGCTACAACATGGATGAAACTTGAGAACATTATGTTAAGTGAAAGAAACCAGGCATAAAAGCCCAAATATTATATGATTCTATTTATATGAAATATCTAGAAAAGGCAAATCTGGATATTGAGGTAAGTCAGTCTCTATAGCCAAATAGACAGAAAGCAGACTAATGGTTGCCAGGGGATAGGGAAAGGAGGGAATAGGAAATGACTGCTTAATGGGTACAAGGTTTTTTTGGGGGGTGATGAAACAGTTCTGAAACTAGATGGTGGTGATGGTTGCAAAACGTTGTAAAATGTACTTAATGCCATTGAATTGTACACCTTAAAAGGATAAAATGGTAAATTGTATGTTATACAGAGTGGAGGAAAGGTAGGTTTACAGTTGTTCATATGAAAAATAATACAAGAATTAATTTCACTTGTATTATAATACAAAAGTAATCCCTGTCTCACACACCCTCTGGTTTTAGTGCTGGAGTTATGTTGACATATTCTTACTTACCTGTTCTACTCTTTAAAGCAATTCTATAATGAACTTGCCCTTGCTATTCACAGTATCAGTTTCCATCATTTTGGATTGCATCTCATTTGGGACCAGCCTACTGTCTGCTATTTGTTTCTTTAGATGAAATTCTGTGCAGTGTTCATAGCAGACTACTCCTTTCCTTTCTTAGTTCTTTCAGCTCCCAAAGGGGCTGAGGGAGGATGAGGAGAAACACTCCTTCCTTTTCTCCCTTTTTATAGGTTCTTCCACTTATTCATTTCACTTCAAATGGAGAAATCAGTTAACTGGAACCATCAGACTTCCACCCTTTAAGTGGTGGCTTGGAGAAGGAAAAGAGGGCCATTTCAGCTTTCAGGGGCTCTTTGCTCAAATTTCTACAGGAATAGTAGAGGAAGGGGCTGGCTCTTTCAGTCAT